GCCAGCTTGTCCAGGACCAGCTCCACCAGCAGCAGCACCCCCAGAACCGGCACCTCCAGTTCCAGGGTCTCCAGTCTCAGTGTCTCCAGTAGCAGTACCCCCAGACCCAGGGTCTCCAGCAGTAGTACCCTCAGCCTCAGCACCTCTAGCCCCAGCAGCTCCAGTACCTCTAGTACGAGCACCTCCGGGACCAGCACCACTCCCAGCTCCAGTGACGCCAACAGAAGTACCTCCAGCGGTAGAGCCCCAAGCTCCAGAAGCGCGACCCTGACGGCGACCGTACCAGTCGTGCAGCTGCTGTGAGGTGAGAGGCACACGCGGACGAAGGCGGCTACTCCAAGGAGACCGCGCAACAGCAGACTCAGAACCCTCAGCGCCAGCACCCGCAGCAGCTCCAGAACCTCCAGTGCCAGCACCCGCAGCAGCTCCAGAACCTCCAGCGCCAGCACCCTCAGCAGCTCCAGAACCTCCAGCAGAAACAACTCCAGTAGTAGAGACACCAGCACCAGCGCCTCCCGCAGTAGGGCCCCTAGCTCCAGCAGCGCGACCCAGACGGCTAGCGTACCACTCACGCAGCTGCTGTGGGGAGAGAGGGAGTCGACGACGAGAGTGCAGCGGAAAGGTACCAGCACAGCGACTGCGGAGACGGCCGCCCCAGGGAGACTGCTCACCAGACGCCTCAGCGCCCCCAGGTGCAGCACCCCCAGACTCAGTACCCCCAGGCTCAGCACCCCCAGACTCCTCACGTCCAGGCTCAGCACCTCCAGTCTCCTCACCCCCAGGCTCCGCACCTCCAGGCTCCGCACCCCCAGGCTCAGCACCCCCAGGCTCCGCACCCCCAGGCTCCGCACCCCCAGGCTCAGCACCCCCAGAAGCAGTACCCCGAGCAGGACCACCCTCAGCAGGACGTGAGTCACCACTGACCTCAACCGGCGCAGTCAAGGGAGGAGGGTTTACCTGAGACACACCTGAAGGAGCAGGACCGGGAGCGGGGAGGGGGTCTACATGGGGAGCACCTGGAGCGAGGAAGAACGGCGGGGGGGGGAGAGGGGCAGCGCGGTAGGGGAAGAGACGGTAAAAGGGAACCGACTCGTCGAACGTGACGTCCTGGGAGGGGAAGACACGGCGCGAGGTGGGGTGGTAAAACTGCCAACCAGGCGCGTCAGGGACAAAGCCAAGGAAGACACAGGGAACAGCGCGGGCGGAGAGCTTGTCCGCGGTGGTATCGCGGACAAAGGCACGAGCACCCCAGACCCGGAAACACGACGCATCGCCAACCTTCCCCGTCCACAGCAGGGTGGGCGAGGTCTCCGGCAAGGAGACACGGGGCCAGAGGTTGAGCTGATGCGCGGCGTACCGGACCGCAAACGGCCACAGAAAATGGGGGGCAGCCGCATGGATCATGGAGGTACGAGCGACCTCCATGACTAAGCCAATGCGGCGCTCAGCAACCCCATTCTGCTGCGGAGAGGCCGGAAGCGTGAACGTCTGGCGGATGCCGTGCTCCGCACAGAAGGCTGCCAAGAGGCCGGAGGAAAACTCCCCACCTCTATCAGAGTGCAGACGCAGGACGGGAAAGTCCGACTGGAACCGCTCGCGGAGCTGGAGACGAGCAGCGCGGATCCAAGGGATCAAAACATCAGGGACCTCACCCTTGGTGCGCAAGGGGAAGACCATGGTGTAGCGCGTGTAGTCGTCGACGACCAGCAGGAAGTACCGCTCGTGGCCCTGTCCACGGACGCGGGCTGGGCCCCACACGTCCAGGTGGAGAGTCTGCAGGGGAGCCTCTGTGGGAGGGAACGAGGAGGAGTGAGGATCGGCGCGCTGCCGCCCCTCGACACAGGGAAGACAGGGAGGAGCAGGCGAGGGTGGGAGGGGAGGGAGAACCCTGGGAAGACCAGAGACAAGGACATGGCGGTGCATGCTACGAAGGCGCTGCACCGAGGGGTGACCAAGGCGGTGGTGCCAAAGGAGGGTCTGGTGCGACAAAGCGCGACACGAGCAGGGGGCCGCTAGCTGACCTGACGCAAACGCAGACGCAGCGACCTGAGGGGACTCAGTGGTCAGTGTGTCAGTGTGAAGGTAGCCAGGTGACGGCCCGTCTGAGCACACGTGCAGTGTGTCACACGCTCGTAGGCAGGGGTGAACTGGTGAACACCCGCGTCCTGGAGCGGAGAACCCGCCACCAAGTTCGTAGAGAACGAGGGGAGGTAAAGACCCGACAGTGTGCCGGACGGGACAGCAGGACATGGGAGGACAGTGGAGGAGGTCGCACGGACTGGACCCCCAGAGGGGTCTGCCAGGGAGACTAGAACTGGCCGACTGAGCGGCGTGAGGGTGGTGCTGTCGCGAAAGAAGGAGCGAGAAGCACCTAAGTCAAGTGTGAAGGTGTACAAGGCCTCAGCAGGCGCAGTACCAGAGAGAGGAGACTCACCAGCACCTGAAGCAGCAGCCTCACCAGTACCTAGAGCAGGAGACACACTAGTCCCTGGAGCAGTAGCCTCACCAGCACCTAGAGCAGCAGGCTCTATACATGGGTCAGGCGCTACGCACAGGTAACAGTCACGGCCAGCAATAGTAGGCAATGCATACATGGCAGTGAGAATAGCATCATAGTCAAGAGCATAGATATCTACCCTCTGTCCAAGCAGCTCCAGCTAGGTGGGGAGCTCAGCCTCGTCGCCAAACTCAGTACGCCAGGCGTCGCTCAGACGGGCGAAGCAGCGGGACTGTGTGTGACTAAGCGTCCCGCAAGCGTGACCAGTCCGATCACCTGTGCGAATGACGTACGGGCAGCGAACGGTACTCAAAGACCCTCTACTCTGAGCGTACCACTCACGAAGCTGCCGGGGCGTGAGAGACTCGCGCGGACATCGCTGGAGCTGCATCTGGCCACCGCCAGTAGCAGTAGTAGCAGCGGCAACAGCAGTAGCAGCAGTCGCAGCAGTAGTAGCGCGGCCACCCCTACAACCCCAACTAGCGTACCACTCACGAAGCTGCTGGGGCGTGAGGGACTTACATGGACGTCGCTGGAGCTGCATCTGGCCACCGCCAGTAGCAGCAGTAGCAGTAGCAGTAGCAAGAGTAGCAGCGCAGGCAGGGCAGGCACGGCAGGCAGGCAGTCAGGCAACAGCGCACGAACAAGGCAGGTGCTCACCAGTGGCGGGCAGGGCCGGCGCTCGGCGGGGCCGCAACAGTGGCTGCAGAGTAGGGCCGCAGCAGCTGTAGGGCGAGGTCGCGCTAGCAGCAGGTCGGGGCCGCGTTAGCTGCAAGGTTGGCGGGGCCGCGTCAGCGTCCAGACAGGGCCGCGTCGGCGGCAGGGCGCGGCCGCGGCAACTGTAGTGCGGGGTCGCGCTAGCGGCAGGTCGGGGCCGCGTCAACTGCAGGGCTGGCGGGGCCGCGTCGGCGTCAGGGCGCGGCCGTGTCAGCTGCAGGGCTGGCTGGACCGCGTGAGCAGTAGGGCGCGGCCGCGTCAGCTGCAAGGCTGGCGGGGCCGCGTCAGAAGCAGGGCGGGGCCGCGCCGGCAGCAGGGCAGGCCGCGACCGCGGCCTGACGGAGCCGCGTCGGCGGCAGGGTGGGGCCGCGACCGCGGCAGGATGGGGCCGCATCAGCGGCAAGGCGGGGCCGCGACCGCGGCCTGACGGGGCCGCGACAGCGACCTGACGGGGCCGCGCTCTGGCCTGACGGGCCTGCAGAGGCTGCGCGCGGGCGGCGAGGGCCTGCAGGGGCAGCGCGCGGTCGGGCAGAGGCTGCGCGCGGGCGGCGAGGGCCTGCAGGGGCGGCGCGCGGTCGGGCAGAGGCCGCGCGCGGGCGGCAAGGGCCTGCAAGGGCAGCGCGCCGGCCTGACGGGCCTGCAGGGGCGGCTCGCGGGCCTGACGGGCCTGCAGGAGGCGGCTCGGAGGCCTTTCGGGCCTGTAGGGGCGGCTCGTGGGCCTTACTGGCCTGCAGTGGCGGCGTACTGGCCTAGGGCAGCAGGAGGCAGCGCGAGGGCTGCAGGACGGCGCGCGCAGCGCAGCACGTCACGAGGCAAGGCAGGCAGGCAGGCAGACAGGCAGGCGCAGGACAACACGTGGGGTAGCGCGGTAACCGCAACGGTAGGTGGGCCCGAAAAAAAACGGTCCTACGGACCTAGTGCCTTGAAACCATGTTAGAATCTAGCAGCATGAATGAATGAACTATGAAAGAGTTGGGTACAAATATGAAACCCTAAAGTGGGTTGTACCCCACATTGGCTACCCCACTACAGCCTAAACATATATAGCAGATATAACATTTGACACGCCGTGGGATGTGACAAATGGAAATGCGAAATTTATGAATGCACTTGGTTGGGCCAAACATGTGAGCGATTTTGACTATTTTGCACATGTTCAGCACATCGCGTGCCAATCTGGTTGCTCGCCAATAGGGATTGATAGGTAGATGTTTAAATGATCAAGAAATCTCCACCTACACGCCTTAGGATTGAACGTTGCTTTTGTGATGGATCCTGCACACCGATTCACGTCAAATGACATTTCGCGCCCAAGGGTCTGACAGAGGCGGGTTCTAACATTCACGAAAAAAACTGATTGGGTGGGTCAACTTAGCAATGCGAGTCGTTCTAAAAGGATCCAACACACATTGCGTCAGCTTGGAAGTCGCGTCTCAGGCTCTGGCACATGGAAATTGTAACGCTAACGAAAATCGCCACTTGTTTTCTCAAATTCATGTATACGTTGGTGTTTTTGTGCTGGATCTAGACACTTCGAAATTCTGATTTTGGCGATTTTGGCGATTCAGGTTTAGGCGACTCTGATTTTGGCAACTCGAGCAACATATTTCGTAGTCTATTCTCTGGAATAGCGTGGGTCCAGCCAGTCCTTCAGTATTCCTCTCATGCTCCACAGCTCGACGTTTATTTATTGCATACACTACCTTGTGATGCAGTGGAAGGAGAGCATTTTAGATCAGCCTTTGAACTCCACTGTTTTCAACCGTATACTAGGAGATTTAAGACCATGGCACGGGGCAAGGGCGGCCGTCTGCGTGGGAAGGCCTGTGGTGGCCATAGTACAGTCATGGAGGGACCTCGGGGCGGCAGCCGTGACGCTCCAATGTTAGGGGCTGAGAGGCGACAGCTCCAACGCATAGCAGCTACTGGGGACGGAGGATCTCCACTTGGAGATTCACCTGTGTCAACTCCTGCTGGTATGGTGCGTGCAGAGGGCGGAGACAAGGAGATAGAGGGCATTGAAATGGTGGTTTCTTCTAAAGAGAGGACCACACGTGAAATGGACAGGTTTGAAGAGGGAGATGGTGATGAGGATTTTGAGGGGGATGAGGAGAAAGGAGGGAACAAGAACGACATTAATGACAGCGTAGATGGGAATCATGATGTTGACGGTGGTGGGGAAGGCATGGAAGGCGATGATGAGATTGGTGACGGTGTTGAATCTATTAACAAAGTTGCCAATGGAGGAAAGCGTAGGAAGACGGCAGGGGGGGCGGGTGCATCAGCAAGAACAAAGCACAAAAGTTGTGCAGGAAAGGTGGTGCGGTGTTATTCGGAAACTAAGCGAGGGGAGCATCGGCAGTTTCGCGTCTGTGGTGACTGGCTCTCGTTCGCGGGGAGCAGCACCAACACCGGCAAAAACCACATGATTCGCGCCCATGAGTCGCATCGGGCTATTTGGGGTCGCCTGTTTGAGACGGGGCAACTGGACCCGAATGAGCGCATTCCCGAGCGAGGTTACAAGTGAGCGCATTCTTGGTGTGTGGGTGGGTTACGCCACATGGCCAGACACCCCCCTCCAGGGGGTGCTGAGCCTAGCGAGGAAGCTCAACAGTCTATAAGGTCGTACGTGCAGCGCAAGGTCAACATTCCCTACTTCAATCAACTTTTGGCAGAGTACCTCGTGGATGCCGTCCATGCCTTCCGCACCGTGGAGCGACCCACGGTAATATATCTCAGAACACTTTGCAATGTTGGCTGATTTCTTCAAAGTGGAGACGACTCAGTTTGAGTGCTTACTAATACGAACATATGCCCGTTCTTGTGCAGTTTCGACGCTTGATTATCGAGCTGAATGGTCAGGCCGCCAAGCCTAACGTCATCCCTTCTCGCCATACCCCCTCGCGAGATGTCATGATGTATGCCGCGCGAGCATGAGCTGATTTGCAGGCGGAACTAAAGGCGGCCAGTATTTCAGCAGTGTCCATCACAACGGACATTTGGACAAGTGACAACCGCCGAGGCTATATGGCCGTCACCATGCATTACGTTGACGCGAATTTTGTGCTTAGGCAGGGGCTTTTGGACTTCGTGGAGTTGGGTGCTGATCACACTGCGGATGTGATAGCTGAAACGTTCGAGAAGGTGGTGGTGGAATGGGGGCTGGCGGGGAGGGTGTTTGCCGAGACAACGGACAACGCTGAATCGAACGTCAAGGCGTTCCTGGAGCTAGCTAACAGGGGAGGCACAAGCGGCAATGGCATCTCTCTTCTTGGCGCGAAAATGCATTTTCGGTATGCTTGGCAGCATAAGTACCTCGCCCGTGCAAACTCAATGTTGCTCCATCCTGAACCTCTGCTCATGTCGCGCCCTATCTCCCTTGTTACCTGCTCGTTTGCCTTCCCTTCTCTACGGGCGTCGCGCAGATGCATGGCACATGTGCTCAACATAGCTGTCCAGAAAGTGCTGAATGTGCCCATTGTCAAAGAGGCGGTGCAGAAGCTGCGTGACATAGCCTCTTACATTGGGTATTCGCCCAAGCGTTGGGCAAACTTCGCAGCAGACCAGCAGACTGTGTTTCCTGGCAATCCAGTCATGAATTTGAAAGGGGACAATAATATGCGCTGTACTCGTGCTACGTCACGGTGAAACGGGGGCTTCAACTGCGACGCCCCTTGTGGATCCATTTCTTGGGCAGTCAGGTAATGATCCACACTCTGTGTTTACGGTAACATGCGTTGTTGTAGATGTCAGTTACAATACAACCCCTCCATGGTTGCAGTGCAGTGCAGCAACCCCAAAATCAGGGCGCCACTGCAGCCGAGAAGGCGCGGTTCAAGGAGCTCCGCCTCTCTGATGAGGATTGGGCAGTGCTTGAGGAACTTTTGAAGTTCCTTGAGCCGTTCGACACGATCACGCAGGTTGTGGAGGGGTCACTCTATGTGACCGTCAGCAGCATGGTGCCCCATTACAACGACATCCTCGATGTCTTGGAGGGGATGTACCACAACTTGGTTGTGCGGCCAAGCAACCTGCTCAAGGCATGCATTGAGGCTGCCCTCCCCAAGCTCAAGCAGTACTACTATGGTAGCATTGATGAGCTGGTTGTGGCCACCTTTCTAGACCCACAGTACAAGCTCAGCTATTTTGAGCTACCGCCATGGGAGGCAGAGCACCAAGAGTTGGCAGCGGTGGTGGGTGAGCAAGCGAGGGCTTCAACTGCGATGCCCCTTGTGGATCCATTTCTTGGGCAGTCAGGTAATGATCCACACTCTGTGTTTAGTGCATGTCAGTTACAATACAACCCCTCCATGGTTGCAGTGCAGTGCAGCTACCCCAAAATCAGGGCGCCACTGCAGCCGAGAAGGCGCGGTTCAAGGAGCTCCGCCTCTCTGATGAGGATTGGGCAGTGCTTGAGGAACTTTTGAAGTTCCTTGAGCCGTTCGACACGATCACGCAGGTTGTGGAGGGGTCACTCTATGTGACCGTCAGCAGCATGGTGCCCCATTACAACGACATCCTCGATGTCTTGGAGGGGATGTACCACAACTTGGTTGTGCGGCCAAGCAACCTGCTCAAGGCATGCATTGAGGCTGCCCTCCCCAAGCTCAAGCAGTACTACTATGGTAGCATTGATGAGCTGGTTGTGGCCACCTTTCTAGACCCACAGTACAAGCTCAGCTATTTTGAGCTACCGCCATGGGAGGCAGAGCACCAAGAGTTGGCAGCGGTGGTGGGTGAGCAAGCGAGGGAGGTCGGTTCTATTGCTCCTGCAGAGGTTGTGCACTTGGTGAAGGCTTGTTGGCAGCCTTACTGGAACTGCTACCAGGCTTCTTTGGGGGTGGTGGGTTTCGAGCAGCAATGGAGAGGGAGGGCAGCCAGGGTCATCGGGAGGGGGGGCTGGCAGCGCTGGTCATCTGACACGCAAGAGGGGACATCTGCATGCTCGGATGGAAGCTTTGTTGGCGAACACGCACACCCCTTCGCGTGACTAAGTGGACCGCTACCTTGAAGAGCCGGTGCGGCTGGATGTCAGCCCCTTGGCTTATTGGCGGTCCAAGACTGATCTTCCAGCGATGCGCGAGATGGCCAAGGATTACTTCTCCATCCCAGCCACATCGGCGGCTAGTGAGAGGGTGTTCCCGCAAAGCCGCAACCTCATCTCACGGCATCGTTACGATCTTAACGCAGACCGCATTCGAGCCACCATGACTTTGAAGACCTGGATTGCCTCACCTGGTGGGGAGGAGCTTCTGGAGACCCCTACTAAGACCCCTACTAATTCGGTTGTTGAGAGTGATGATGTGGAGTAACACTGCAATGCTTAGTTGTTAGTGTTTGCCAACATGAACCCTGTCTTTTATGGTCTAGTGTAGAACCAGTAGTGTAGGTGTTAGCTATCAACTCTGAACCATGTTCTTAGCTCTCATTACTTTCAATGAAGTGGTTTAGTTGAATACATGGCTTATGCTTCTCATCCATCATGTGTGTGAAACTCATTGCTGCCCCACATGTGTGTGAAACTCATTGCTGTCCCACATGTATGTGAAACTCATCGCTGCCCCACATGTATGTGATAATCGTTGCTGTCCCACTTGTGTGTGATACTGATTGCTGCCCCACATGTGTCTGATATGCTCTTAATGAGCAACCAACACTAATACATATTGTTCTCCCGTATTCTTGGTACCGGTATGCTCTACATGCCTGATATGGGTGGATGTGCGTTCCATTTGCATGCCAAGTTTGTTTTTTTTTTTATCGACCTGAATGGCCTTTCAGGTGGTAGGTGCTGCCCAAAAACCCCCTCTTATACATTTCTATTCTATTTGTTGTTGGTGGGTGTGCTATTTCTTTTATGCAAGAAATGTCCTCGCTATATTCCTTCACCCAAACGGACTTTCAGGACATACACGGTACGTGCTACCCAACCAACTAAACCCTATTGCATCTCTCACGAATAGGCATTTTGCTATTCTCACAAGTGACACGATATTGGAACGCATCTTCGAGGCGATGTGCACAAGCATGCAATCTATTACTGTAGCCATATGCACGCGTACATCTCCACAGTGTAACAACCAGCACACATCCCGCCCACAATTTTGGAAGAAGTAAACGACATCCAGTCCCTAGTCGCACCTGCCCACACATTTGGAGGCGGTGTATGGCAGGCATGAGGGGGGAATGAAAGTTATGGCATGAAGAGTGAGGTTCCTGATTGTGAGTTTCTGCAGGAAAAGGTTGTGGGGGGGAGGTGGCAACTACTTGGGGTGGAAAGTATGGCAGTTCATGTTTGCAACTGCTAAATGTAGAGGTACATCAGTGGCAGTGCTGTCGTACCCCCCCTAAAAGCCTCCTAACATGATTTCTTACTTGGGAAACATAGATTGACTTGCAGATTACCTGACTCGGCCTCAAGTCAGGCTTGACTCGACCCCAAAAACGAGTCTCAAGTCAGCATTCACCCAAAACCGACTCGAGGGTGACTCGTCTCGACTCGACTCGACCATCATCACGACTCGACCACGACTCGAAGAGACTTGACTCGACTCGTGCCCATGTCTATCCGCGTCCCTCCGCTGCTCCCTCTGCTACTCCCTCCTGTGAGAATAGTACGAGGAATGCAGGAGCCATAACTAGGGTTTAGCTAGTTAGGCAAGAGAGAATAAGCAAAAGATGAGGTTTCACTAGCAAGCAGGTGGATACATATAGGAAACCCTAAGGGGCCGTACTCACTATAGAGTACCCCACTGTAGGCTAGACAAACTACACATTCTGACACCTCCCCACCTCCCCTCCCCCCCGCCCCTACTCCTCCTCTCCCGCCTGCCCCTTCCGCCCCTCCTTCCGCCGTCACCTCTGGCAACTCTCCTCCTACCTCTTCTTCTTTAGCTCCCATGCCCTCTCCATCGCCACCTCTTGATGCTTCCCTTCCTTCTGTTCCTATTCCCCCACCCTCTCCGCGCCTCACTCGCTCCATGACCCGTGCAATGTCCAATTTTCAACACTCCGCTCTTTTAACTCGTCTATCTTCCTCTCAGGACCCAAATCTTCTCGAAGATCGGTTTGAGGAATTCTTCTCTGTTCACCCTGTCTCCCCTCTTCTCTGTGTCACCATTCGCGACTTCAGCAATTCACCCACTCTTCTCTCTGCCGACACGGCCACCATTCCCATCCCTCAGTCCTATTCCGAGGTCGTTTTTGGCTTTCACGCCACTGAATGGATGGCTGCCATCATTGCTGAGTGTGAGGCGTTCACTCGTACCAATTCCTACGTCGACTCTGTCTCCCCCCCCTGGCGCCACCATTGTCAAGGGCAAATGGTTCTTTTGTGTCCAGCAGTTGCCTGGGGAGCTTCCTCTCTTCAAAGCCTGCTATTGTGCCAAATGCTTTACCCAGCGTGCAGGCATTGACTACTTTGCCACTTACTCTCCCACTGCTCGTCTCCCCCCCTTCGCCTCCTTCTTGACCTAGGTGCTTGCTGGGATTGAGAGATCCATTCTATGGATGTTTCCAATGCTTTCCTTCAGGGCGAGCTTCATGAGCGCATTTTCTTTGAGCGCCCCGCCGGTTTTCCTTGCCCCTTCCCTCCATGCATTGTTTGGGAGCTGAAGTGCCCCGTGTATGGCCTCAGGCAGGCTCCCTGCGAGTGGCATGCCAAGCTCTCCTCTACTCTTCACTCTCTTGGTTTCTCCACCTCTACCTCCGACCCCAGTCTTTTCATTCGCACTTCCCCTCACAGGCTTTACATTCTTGCCTATGTGGACGACTTGGTGCTGCTTGCTGAGGATTCTGCCAATCTGGCTGCTGTCAAGCAGGCCCTCCAGGTGTGTCTCCTGTGCAAGGATCTTGGCGAGCTTCGCCACTACATCCGCATGGAGATTCGTCACGATCGTGCTGCGCGCACCATCTCTCTCGCTCAATCCTTCTACATCCACTCCATTCTTAAGCGCTTCGAAATGTCGCAGGCCAAGCCAGTTTCCACTCCTCTTTCCGCTAACCATCAGTTACTCCCCCTGCTATTCCTGCTCCCTCCTCAGAGTTCCGACCCTATCCAGAGCTCGTTGGGTCACTCATTTATGCTATGATGTGCACACGGCCCGATCTTGCTTATCCCCTCAGTGTCCTTTCTCGTTTTGTTGGCCTTGGTCGCCACACTGACGTGCACTGGGCGGCGGCCAAGTACGTTCTTCGCTATCTTCGCGCTACCTCTGATCTTGCACTCACTCTTGGTGGCTCTTCTCCCCCCGTTCTTTTTTGTTACAATGATTCCTCCTACTCTGATTCTCACCCTGATTGCCGCTCCTCTCAGGGTTATGGTTTTGCTCTTGATAGTGGTCTCATCAGCTGGCGCTCCACTCGCTCATCCTCTGTCTGTCTTTCCACCTATGAGGCTGAGTTGTTCGCAAGCACATTGGCAACTCAGGAGGCTCGCTGGCTCTCATTTCTCCTTGCTGAGCTTGGTCACTCTCAGCAGTCTTTGACGCTTTCTTGTGTTAGTGCGAGCATGATTCATCTCACTGAAAATCATGTTTATCACACCTGCAGCAAACACATAGAGGTCCGCTACTTCTTTGTGCGCGAGCTGGTGCAGTCTGTTTTCCTCTGCCTTCGAAAGGTGGCCGCCGACGCCAACCTTGCTGACATTTTCACCAAGGCCCTCCTTCGTGCGCCGCACAGTTTCATTTCTGGTCCATTTTAGGTTCACTTTGTAGTTTGTTGGGGTTTCCCAACCCTATCTTTCAAATGTCTCTTGACACTTTCTCAGTGTAACTTTTTCGACTTTACCTAAAATCTCTTGCCATCCATGGCTACTCTATTCTTAACAGGTCGGCAGGTAGGTCAGCTGGCGTAACTCATGTTTAGCAATAGCCATAGCGTAGATCTCGGCCTCACAGCTGGAATTCAGCACAGAAGACGAACGAGTGGACCTCAAGGAGACAGAACCAGAGTCGAGACTAGAAGATTAACCCTGTGACGACCGTTGAGTCGTATAATCGTCAGCCCAAGAAGCGTCGGAGTGACCCGTGAGTACCACTGGACCCCGTCCTCCAAGCACGAGCCCCATGCCCGATGTACTCCACAAGTAACAGAGTACCCTCTGCACAGCTGTCCAGTGCTCCTTCCTGTGTCTCCCGGGCGCGACGAAGCGAGCAAGGATGCTCAGAGTGTACGCGAGGTCAGGTAGTGTGCACGTCATCAGGTACATGAGGCAGCCCACAAGCTCTGGATACGGGCCACTCGGCTCTACGGACTCGTCCAAAGGTGGAGCTGGGAGCAGGTGGCCTATAGGCAGAGGAGTAGGCTGTGGCGAGGAGAACCAAAAGCCGAAGCGCTGAAGGACCTGATGCACCATGTGTGACTGAGTCAGATAGCTCACCCGAAGCGCTGAAGGTGCGCCTTGCTCTGTCCTGGGTGATCTGCAAGCCAAGATAGCTACGCAGCTCACCCAGGTCAATGCAAATGTGTCTCTTCTGCAGCTCCACTTACACAAGGGCTGTAGAGATAACTACTACAACGGGAGCTAGACTACGGGCTAGGCACGGGTGCTCGTGTGATCTCTGCGTTCATTGGTCCTTAGTTGTTTTCCTAGTGCACACACAGCTTGCTAGTTCACAGGGAGAATTGGCAAGAGTTTCACTAGAGAAAGTTGACAACAAAAATGGTACAATGAAGTTGGCATGGCAAGACTACATCAGAGCAAGCATTCAGGTCGGTCGACTGCCAGCGCAGCATGGTCGACCGCATTCCAGCACGACTTGGTCGACCGCGCTCCAGCGGTGCAAAGTCGACGGCGTGCCAACGCTGCTCACGCAGAACAGCAGCGCACCCGCTTCGCAGGTGCTCGCAAAGTCTCGTCACCTGCACAGCGCACACACCACGTCAACCCGGCGCTGATGACTACCTCTGATCAGCCACGTCAACCTCGGGATACCACCACCGAGGTCGGGCTCGCCAACTTCGCCTGGGCGACCGTCGCACTTCTCCGCAGAACCTCGTCACCCAGGTAACCTGGTCGACCGGGCAACCATGTCGACCAGCTGCTCCCGTACGTGCCCGTCGACCTCCCAAGTCGACGGCCACCTCCAGTCGACCTCACCAGGTCGACCACACCCTTGGTCGCCCAGCTCCAGGTCGACGTCCCTTCTGGTCGACCAGCTCCACGTCGACCAGCAGTCCTGGTCGACCAGCTTCATGTCGACGAGCGCAGTTGGCGGCCGACCACCCAAGTCGGCTACTCGAAGTCGGCGTCACGAAGGTGACGCCCAGCTACTCGACGCCCAACTGCTCGGCGTCCTGAGTCGAGGTC